GCTCTAGGAGACCCCCGGTCCCCAGAGAGTTCCGGGAGGGGGCGCGATCTCGTCCCCCCTGCCGGGTCCCGCGCGCAGCCCCCAAACGCCACTCCTCCAACCCTCTCAGTGCTCTAAGGACCGCTTCCCGCCTCCGCTCGGTCGCTACCCGGCTGTGCTGGCAATGGACACCTTTGTTCAGAGGAATGGAAAGGCGAAGCGCGGGGTGCGGAGGAGGTGGGGAGTCGTCCGGAGACCTGGCCAACTTGGGGCCCCGCGCGCGCCACCGCCTGAGCAGTTCCCGTGCCTGCCCCCTCTCCAGGACAAGCATGGAGGGAGCGACCCTCTGCGTGGAAAGCTCCCGGGGCTCCAGGCTGCCACGAGGCTTTGATCAAACCGCCGCGCGGGTTTGGGCACCAGCAAGATTGCAACCTTAACCACAGGCCTGCCTTTGCATTAGGGTTAGGGGACAGGGTGGGGGACAGGTGGCCTGGGGTCTGCAGAGAACTGCCAGGAAACACGGCTTGCACAGGGCTGGCGGCAGGGTTCAACCTGTGACCAAAGCGCTGGCTGGTCTCCTGGAGGAGTGGGGTCCCTGAGGGAGGAGCAGCAGGCATAGAGGAGGCCCCTGCTTTTGGGTCCCGGGGACCCCCAGCATTTGGCTAGGACCACCTTCCAGTCCTGCACCGCTGGATGCTGACCAGTCAGCCGTGCCGTGGCCTTTAAACCCATGGGCACTTTTTAAATTTTTATTCTGTGGCTGAACCCAGGGACTTCACACTGATGTACACCTCCAGACCTTTTTGACCTTTTATTTTGACCCAAAGTCGTGCTAAACCCCTGAGTTACCCAGGCTGGGCTTGAATTTGTGATCCTCCTGCCTCAGCCTCTAAGAGGCCTGAGATCATAGGCGTGCCCCACCACACCCAGCCGGTGGGCACTTTTACCCCGGGCCAATTCTCCCTCGCGAAGTGAACAGCCTGGAGCAATGCTTGCTCGGAGCATCTTCCTCACTGATACCCTGCAGTGCCACTGTAGGGTGACAGCCACCTGTTTTTTCCTGATCCCAACATGAGGAACGGAGACAAGCGTTTTCCTTCAGTGGTCACAGCAGCCCCTGACCAAGAGGCCTAGGTGTCGCCAGGAGGGTAGAGGGCCACTATGGCAGGCAGATGGGGGGGCACGACGGTTCACAGTCCTTCTTGCCGCCTCCGACCCCATCTGGGCCTGCACATCCGGGTATGTTGTCATTGCCATGCCAGCCTGGCCTCTGATTACTTCAGCCCCAGCAGGTGCCCTGTCACCAAGGCACATGGTATCCCATGACAGGCTCTGAATGTCCTCTGTTGACTATTTGGGATGCTGTCCTTGATCTGGGGAAGTACTCCTTGCAAAAGGATCACAGGCGACTAAAACGTGAGGCCAGTAAACAGGATTTTGGTAAAGATCACATTCCCCGTGCTGGCCCCAAGTATCCCAAGCACTCTGCCACTGAGCCACATCCCCAGTCCAAGTTAAAGCCTTTTAGATCACTTTACGAAATCTTTCTCCATTTTAAAGTCAAAAAGATATTCCTCTGCCTTCTCTTTTTAAGAAATTTTTGTTTTTTGTTTCTTTGTTCTTTGAAACACAGCCTCACTATGTAGCCCAGGCTGACCTCAAACTCAGAGATCCTCCTGCCTCAGCCTCTCCTCCCAAGTGCTGGGATGACAGGTGTGCACCACCACACCCAGCTTCATGCAGTTATTTGGATCGTCACTGTGGTCATGTGTGTGTTTCTGTCCTCTGTCAAATGCTTCTTCCATGTACCACTGCTCCCAGCTTCTTTTTATGAATGTTAGCAAGCACAAGTCTTGAGTTCAAGGCTAGCCTGAACTACATAGTGAGACCTTGTCTCAAAAAAAAAAAAAAAAAAAAGAAAAA